CCTTAACAAACCCTAAACCCCAACAAGCTCTAAATCCTAACAAACCCTAAAAATCCGCAACCAACACCCCGAAACTTGAAGACTACTCCCTGTACTAAAAACCTTTCAATTTGAACACTTTCTTCTCCCCTAAACCCTTCAAGCCAAATCCAAAACAAACCCTAAACCCTAAACAACCCAAAGTACCCAACAACCCTGAACCCTAAAAGCCTAAACCCTAAACAACCCTGAACCCTAAACAAACCCCAAACAGCCCTAGACCCTAAACAACCCTAAACCCTAAAAATCCCTGCACCAGGGCCCACACGAACTTCACGAATCCACGTTCTCGGCTCCACCTGACAAGGCACCCTAAACCCTAAACCCTCAAACCTTAAACCCTAAACAACCCTAAACCCTAAATATCCTTGAACCCTAAACAACCCTAAACCGTAAACCACCAAAACGTGCAACCAGAACTAGGTTTTTGGGCTTGAGGCATCCTAAGCCACCAGGCTAGTCCTCATTAGAGTTAAACGAAGTGCAGCAATTTCGTTGACCATCCTACCCTAAAGCCTGAACCCTAATAAACCCGAAACCCCAAGTCCTACCTCCACCCGCCAACCAACTACCCTCTACTATGCCGTAATTACCCTACCATCACGACCAGAAGGGCTCCCATAACGGGACACTTGGGAAGTTCGTGCCCTAAACCCTAAACCCTAAACCGTAAGCCAATCCTGGCCTCCATCCACCAAAACTGCAGCCCAGGCTGGCAAAAAGGAGGCAATAGCTCCTTCGTTGCAAAGGCACAAGCTGGGCTTGGGTTTAGGGTTCACGGTTTTGTTTTTTGGGTTTGGGGCTTCGGGTTACTGTTTTCGTGTTATTGAAGCAGCTACTCGGTAGTTGCCAGTAGGAGTCGCGAGCCTCATGTAGGGGCCTCAATACTTAGGATAGGGACTCGGTGTCTATGATGGCATAGTTGTCTATTCACGATGATGTGATACGACTAATGGTGTTTTGCCCGACCCCTTCATTAAACACCGACACGTATTCTTAAGCAGCAACTCCCAACGCTGTGCTGCAAATCCCGCGGGTCGGGGAAGTCCTTTATGTTGCCCTTTGAGCACGTCCAAGGTGCCTGCGCTCAGGGCTCACAGGCTCCAGGGTGCAGCATTTAGTTTAGGGCTTGAGTTGAGCTTGAGTCTGGGTTGCAGGTATCGGCCGCCGGAGAGTGCGATTCAGGACTCAGGGTGTGGAATGTCGGGGTCTAAGGTTTCACGTCCTATGCTTGAGGCTTCAGGGGCTTATCATGGCTTAACCACAAATTTGATAATTAGTGAAGTTTTGTGGATGTGGCCGAGGGCTTTCTCAAAACTTCAGGGCTCAAAGGCTTGCAGTTCCGATAGCTTTGTGGTTGAGGTTCTGCTGCCTACTATAGCGCTTTGGTATTTAACCTCAGGCTGCGCGTCGTTCGGTTCGAAGTTGTGGGCTTCAGGGCTTTGCGAGTTCGACCTTCACGAGTAGTATAATAGGCAGGTTGCTCAAAGGATCTCAAAGGGAGATGACCCTATCATGACCATGCTCATAACTTTCGTCATCAGCATGATCAGCAGAATCATTGTCACCGCCATTTCGTCACATGCATCCTCCTTCACATGACTACCGTTCCACCTACACCAAAAAGCTCCAGACAATCCTCGAAGTTCAAGCTCAAACAAGCCGGCAAGCTCAAACCCCTGCAAGGCCTCGGACCCAGAACCACTGAAGTCCCAAGCCTTCGTTCGTGCTCAGAAGATTCTGAACCTTGCTGCCGCAGCCATGCCACCCTTTGCCCGTAAATCATCGACAGTGAAGTGCCCAAATATCCCTTCAGCTTCATGCCAGACTGAGAGGCAGACTTGAGACACATGTGAAGACCTGGCTACTACGGAATTTGCACGTCCTTAATCCGTACAGCCCCAAACTCACGCCCTGCCCTCTTCCCACAAAAGCACAAGCTTACTTCTTCGCCCTACAGTTCAAATCCCAGAACTCTAGACCTGAACTAGGCATTGCAGAAGCCCTCAAACCCATCAAGTTCAACTCGCAGCACTCAGAAGCGCAACCCACCATTGCAGAGATGATGGCGAAAATGGAATCGGCTACCAGCAAACAAATCACAAAGTAGAAACTTGGGTTCAGGGTTTAGGCCCTGGGAACCAACAACGAAAAACAAAAAGACCAAAGCCTCTATAACCCAAATCCCTCAACACTTATAATTTGGCTACTTAGTTGTAGCCCCAGGGCAATCAACCCGTACAACCCTCAAGCTTGAGCCTTTATATCAGGCATCCCAGGACCTGTGAAGCCCCAAAACCCTGACCCTTCAACCTGAAACCCCGCAGCCTCGCAGCTCTGCGTCAGGGCTGTCAGTGCCGGCTGCAAGGGGGACCAAGGCCTCGTCTGCGGGACTGTTTCTGCAAGGTGGGGGTTGACCCAAGAACCTCTCCGCGTGCGCTCACAGAAACTGCTGCGCATGTCTGTTGTTGACTCCCGGCACTTTCTCGTCATCGAGACATCGGGCTGCAGGACATTTCCCCCGGTAGATGTGTCTTGAAGACGTCAGCGACCTGTGAGACACGACGGCGATGGCCCAAGAGGGACGGCAAGGACTGCGGTGCCGGCAGCGGTGCAGCGGGAGGAAGCAACTCCTTTGTAGTAGCCGGACAAAGCGTCCGGTGCTGCGGCAATGCAGCAGTGTTCGTGGTCGATGGAGGCTCCAGCAGCGGGTTGGGCACACAATGTGTTTGGCTCCGCGAAGGCATCGCCGTGTAGCCCTCGGACACGTGGGCAGGCTTTGCACCGGTGATGAAATCGAACGTGCTCATAACGGAGTGATATGCTCCGATCATCCAAAGCGTGCTTTCGATATTCCCCTCATCTCCACAGCTGCAGCGGAATGTCCGGCCGCTCATTTTCTCCAGGCAGTTTACGCAAACGGCTCTGGAGCACTTCCTCGGTCCCTGTTAGGAAGGAGAAGGAAAGCAGAACTTCATTTCGGTCGTCCTGGCAGAAGTGAGGCCAATTCCGGTGGGCAGTGCTGTCATCCGGAGGTGGCATCCCAAACGGGCAGTCGTTGTGCTCATGCAGCAAATCGTCAGGCTTGATTGGCACTCCCGGTAGGAACTTAGGACTGAAACCTCCTGCCAAGCCCGCTCCGATTTGCGTAGACGCGGGTGACCATGCCTGTCGGTCAAAGCAATGCTCTGTGGGCGCAGGAGATAGAAGCCCCTGTCTGCCGTGGTCGTACTCAGTTTGTTCTTGCGAAAATCGCGCCTCTCTCCCGCCGTAGCATTCCGTTGGTGCAGGGGAGCACGGCGACAAGGGACCTTGCCTGCTGTAGTAATCGGACAATGTGAAGGACTCTGGTGCGCCAGGCATTTCTGCACACACGCGCAGGTTCGCCAAGGCTGCGAAAGCCGGCTCCTCTAATGGGGGAATGGAGCTACATGGATCCGAAACGTCATCCGCCAAGGTGCTATCAGGCATGAAACCTTCCTCGCGACATGAGCTCGAACTTTCAGAGACCTTGGTCGCCTTGTGGCGAGCAACTTCAATCACCGGCTCCACGGCCGGAGGTGCCACCTCTGCTGGCGGATCTGGCCCGTAAGGATTGGTCCAACGCAGCTCGGAGCCGTTCTCGGGCCGCTCTTGCGGCACAGTGGCGGCAACGTCCCATAGTACAGCGGAACGTCGGCGCGGGGGCGGAGGGGGCGGAGGAGGGGGTGGGTGAAAGAACTCGACATCCCACACCTTGGAGGAGACCTCGCTGGTCATCGGTGTGAAGAGCTCGTACGAGTACATCCGACACCAGGCTGTGTAGAAATCGGAATCAGAAGTTGCGGAAGTCCTCGGATCTCCGGCAACTTTGTGGACCGGTGGCTCCCGACCACTCAGAGACGGCGTAGGCATCTTCGACTCGAAGTCGTGAAAGCAAGCCAAGAAGCAGTGCTAGGCTACCTCTGAGCTCCAGCTTGGGCCGTAGGCAATTTAAGGATTGCTCTACCTTTCGAACATGCTTGCAGCTGGAGTCGAACTCTTCATGTAAAGCCTGCACCCTGTGCTCATTGCGCGAAAAAACCAAACCCGTACAACCTGAAGCCCTGCACCCGTCTGCAGACCTGTCCGGATGACACGGACGAAAGCCCCTACCCCCAAACCATGTAACTCCACATCTTTAGACCCTTTGTTATGAACATCCCGGAACCCTCCTTGTACCCCGGCCACCCTAAACCTGAGACCTAGAACACCCCCCAGCCTCACAGCATCTCGCAGCTTTGAGTCAAGGCTTTCAGTTCCGGCTGCAGCAGGGACCAAGGCCTCGTAAGGATCAAGGACTGTGGGCTTGTTACTGTACATTGGAAAGAACTCATCTCCGCATGCACTATTGTAGTAGGCTCCCATGTAGCGTCTCCTTTTAACTCCTGCACTTTCCCATCGGTTGCAGGGCAGCATTACCCAAAGGAAGACTATATAAGAGGTGTCTTGAGGGCTTCTGCGACCTGCCCAATAGCGACAGCAATGACTGCGGTCGCTATTCAGGTGTCCGGAGCTGTGGCAACGCTGCGTGTGCTAGGCTCCGCTACGTCGTATAACCTTGCCCACACGCCAGCAGGCTTTGCGCCGGTGATGTAATCCAATACATTTACGGAGGGTCTCGCCAACAGCGGGAAGCCTGGCCGTTGAGTTTCTCCATGCAGTTAAAATTTAAAAGAAGCGGCTTTGGAGCACTGCCTTGGTTTTCTGTTGGGGAGCAGGGGAACACAGATCCTTCTTATGGGCTCCCTGAAACGAGCAGGTTCGATGCCGTAGGATCCCTGTAACGCTGACCAAGGTTCGGGCAATTGCTGCCGCTTCAAGGAGGCCCTGGGATCCGTTTTTGATTATCAATCAAAGAAGGATCCCAGGACCTGCTTGCAGCGGCAGCAGGCTTCTGGTGCTGGTTCAGAGGCGCCGCATCCACCGTTTATGGATCCGCTTTGACGTATTATTCCTTGTTGAGAAGGAGACACCAAAATACACAGTGACCTTGCAACAGCTGCTGAATGGCCCGCACCCATGACATTTGCAGTGCTCAATAAGGCAGTACGACGGCCGCAGATAGCACTTGTTGTCTCCCGCACCTACAGAGTATTGCTTCCAATCGAGGCCGTACTCTGTAGGTGCGAGAGGGTCCGAGATTTCGGATGCCCCTTCGGGAGCACCGGCAACCCTTCCTCGCGACATGAGCTCGAACTTTCAGTGACCTTGGTCGCCTTGTGGAAAGCAACTTCAATCACCGGCTCCACTGCAGGAGGTGCCACCTCTGCTCGTAAGGGTTGGTCCAACGCAACTCGGAGCCAGTCCCGGGCCGCTCTTGCGGCGCAGAGGCATAAAGATCCCAGAGTACAGAGGCGCCGGGGCGGAGGGGGTCGGTGAAAGACCTCGGTGTGGGATGCCGGCTTCGAGTTCCTTCTTTGAAAGAACTGGAAGCCGGCATCCCACACCGTCGAGATCTCGCTGGTCATCGGTGTGAAGAGCTCGTGCATCTGACACCAAGCGGTGTAAAACGATCCTGCCCTGCCAAGATATCCAACATCAGAAGCAGATGTTGAAATTTCTTCTCCCGCAAAGTGCGGTATTGGCACCGGGAATCGGCCTTTGTTAGATCCCGAGACTTCAACTTCAAGTTGAAATTGGAGTCCGCCGATCTCTGGGAACAAATGCCGATTCTCGGTGCTTATCCTGCGCTTTGTGGGAAAAGAAAGTTGGTTCCCGACCACCAAACGACGGCGTAGGCATCTTCGAAGTCGCCGCGAAAGCAACCGAGCCGAAAAAGCAGTGCTAGGCTACTTTAGAACCCGAGCCTGAGCTGTAGGCAGTTTAGGATGCAAAAGTGTTGCAGCTCCACCTGTCGAAAGCTTGCACCTTCCGGTGAGCTCTTCTTGTCCAAAAGTTCGTTCGCGGCTAGGGCTCTCAGCCTTACAGTTCCCGGCACAGGCTATTCTGCGATACCTAAGCTCTTCAATTCTTTACGGGTGTAGATCCGTCTCCAGATTGGAGTCTGAGCGCTGAAGGGCCTGCACTGCTTTTGGCCTTTGCCCTGAGCTCCGACCTCGAAACCCCAAGACCCAAGCAACGCGTCGCAAGCTCGAAATGCTGAAGTAGCATAGACAGAGGCCCGAATAACTGGTACTATCTCTGCCCAATATTTCCGAAAAATACGCCTGCAGTTTCCTACACTCACACTCATTATTCTCCCACGTCCCGCAAGCCTTCGAGGCTTCAGCAAGTGGTCCCACGGCCTTCAGCACCTTGGCATCACAAGGACTTTATCAGGCTTTTGTAAGGGCAATAATCAATTATAGGGTCTTAGAATCATGAGTAGGGACTTGCAGTTTACAGGCGTAGAGTTAAGGAGTGTATAGGCCTACGGGCATTTACGGTTTACATGTGTATTTTTACAGAGTTTCGGAGTTGTAGGGATATAGAAGTGAAGTAAAGCGCCCGGTTCAAGATCTTATGGGGTTTTGGCTCGAAGGCTTTAGGGCTTCAGGGTAAGTATGATCGCGGTTAATATGGCAAGCAAGTTGAGGCTTACCTGAGGGCATTTGGGTTGACGAGTTCAGGGTTTCAAGCGGCAGTAGGAAGAGGCTGCTCCTTCGGATCTATGCAAACGCCAGGCTCAGAAGAGACAACTCAGGCGCTGCATCCGGAAGCCGAGCCACGAACCAATCAGAATTTCTAAACCCGAAGCCCTGCAAACCCAGGCTTTAGGATTTCAGGGTTTAGGCTATATAGGCCTTCAAGCGGCAGTGTCTTCAAAAGGTTCGTTGTAGTTGACGGCTGTTAGCGTGTCAACCAAATCCCTGCATCCTAAACCCAAACCCCAACCCCGAAACACCCAAGCCTCAAACATCTACATACTCCCAAGCCAGAATCCTCGGAGGGATCCGGGGGAGGAGGAGGGGGGTCTCGGCTTCGGAGTTGTCGTGACTTCGCAGATTAAAGATTGCGGGTCGAGGGGTTGGGGTGTATAGGTGGTTTCAGTACTAGTGCGCATCAGCTTTAAGGTATTAGGATTGGGTTTAGGGATGTAAAGTCTATGGTCTCTATAGTACCACAGGCCATGAAGGCCAGAAAAACCTTACAATGTGAAAGCAGTATCAACCATGGTTGAGGGTTCATAACGATTAGTGGGGTTTCGCATTGAAAATGTAATTGAATACATATGGGTTTAGAGTCGGGGGGTTTAAGGGCTCATAGGGTTACAGGGATCGGCTTTGCTTCTATAGGAACCGCCGACGCCTCTCAACCGCGGCAAAACCTTCAGCCCCAAACCACTGCAACCCTGCGTTAAACTCTCGATGGGACAAACCCTAACAAACAAACTAACAACCCATACCCAAACCCTGCACATCTGCAGCCTCAGCCCCAAAACTCTGAACGCACCCTAAAAAGCCCTGAGCCCTGAAACCTAAAGCCTGTAATCCCCACACCCAAACCTTGAACACCCAATGGAGTCTTCAAAGGAACCCTCATAGAAATCACGTGAAGGAGCCCTTAAAGGGGAACCCAAACGATCACGATGGCCTTGCTACTGCAGAACCTGAGCCGGAAACCGGCGCTTCCGGATGGAGGGGCCTGTATGGTTTCGGGAGCCCCACTACGGCTTGGACTTAAAGGGTTTAGGGTTTATAGGGTTTGCGTGAACTTGGGGTTTAGTGTTTAAGATTTTGTGGGGAATATAAAGGTGGAGGATATTTAAGGTTTACAAGGTTGCGGGCATACGGCGTTTTCTGTAAGGCTAGAGGTTCTGAGCTTCTGGGTTGTGGGGGGGGGGGCCGTCCTCGGAGAGTGTGATTCAGGACTGCGGATGTGGAATGTCGGAGAGTTTGGCCTCGGGACTTTATGTTAAGACTATGTTAAGACCCTCAGGAATTGAAACACGAAACCCATATATGACG